CCAGCACCAATCACAAACCAGATGACACAATGAACGAAAATGTACCTGCTTTGAGAAGGACATTAACACACTCTGTGGATTGCTTGAAACATGCCACGTGTAACGGTGTCCCGTAATGACAGTCCTGTGCTTCTAATGATGCACCAGCTTCTATCAAGATTTGTACACATTCCCAATTATCTGATAACGAAAAATAAAACATGATTACAAATTTGTCAAAGCAATATTGAAATCAAAGAAAGCTTGAAAAGAACTCCAGTGTGATGAGAGTATTGGAGACATGCATGGCACAATCCCAGTTAGTTATCAAATTCAAGATATAGAGTTTTGTTTATAATAATATAGTTTGAACATAATCATGTCAGAGATATGGATCCAGAAGCTGATGCTTAAATATATTTTTTTTTTAACATTAAAATGATTGTATGTCTATGACATCATGGATAATAAATATATAAAATTTGAACATAATCATGCAGTCAAAGCATTTCAGAGATATGGCTCTATGAATAACATTCATTAATACTAAATGGCTTCCAGTCAGCCACTTTGAATCGGATCTGAAAAACAAAATGACATGCATTAGGGACCCATAATGTCTGATGTATGTACCAAAAATGAAATCCATCCAAGATCCGGTTCCAAATTGCCAGAAATGCTTGGTTTTTTGATGATTTTTTTAGTACAAAATGTAATTGGTCCAAGCAAGAAACCAATTTTGAGGAATTTCCTGTGAAATGACTTCTTTGTGAATTCAGGCACATTGGGTCATAATTCAAGAGTACATGTATCAGCAAAAGTAATTTGAACACAGAATGTGAAAAAGCTTTGAATTATGAACCAATATATTTCCCATAATTCCTGAAAATTCAGACTACTTTATTTTCACTTGGAATGAATTTTACATTCAACTCATCAAAAATCAGTGAAAATAAATTCCATACAAAACACCCAAAAAGTATTTTCAGTGAAAATTAATTCTAGCTAAAATAAAGTATTCCACAATATCAAAGACCTCAATAAAATTCACTGAATGTAACTTTAAAACATTGAGTCAGAAAGAAATTTATGAAATGTCATTGAATTGTGAACATTTTTAGCACTCAAATATTAATGGCTTAAAAATTCCTATAAGTCTAGACATTTTCAAAGAAATTTGGCACAATTCATAATTAATTAATAATTCAATATAATTTGTTAACGACATGCCAATTAATCATACAGACAATGTTAATAGGTAATTTTATTTAACTGACAGTTTTAAATGTTGTTTCTAATATTATATCCTAATGACTGGAAAAGATATATCAATAATTTATTTCCAATTAATACATTCCATATAAGCTATTACACATGAACTATTTTAATTTAACATAAAAATTGTGTTTTTAGTTCATTATTTTCAAAACAACTGTCAATATCAGAAAGAAAAAAAAATGCCTGAAATGAATCTGTGGTGAATAAAACAACTTCAAACCCTTTGCGCTTCTACCTTAACCCTCAACCCTCAACCCTTAACCCGCCAGGCCTGTGTACATTTACATTGACTTGACTAAATAACTGTTAAACGGTTGGCATAATTAATTACTAACTTTATTAAGTTGTCAAGTGCTGAACTGTTATGGTAAGTTCAGTTCTATTGTTTTATAAGGTTCAGTTTCATTCCTCTCTGTTCAACACAGGATGTTTAGCTATGAATGACCTCAGAGTACAACTTAAACCATGGAATGAACTGTAAAATCGATATTAGAAGCTGCATTTTTAATAAAAGCCAAACCTAGTGAGAACCAAAAAAATTCATCAATTCACAGAACATTGAATACAACATTTTTCACTTGTCATATAGTTTTTAGTTTGTTTGTTTGTTTGTTGTTTCAGTACAATGATTTCTATGGAGCAATGAAACTTGTATACTGTAAACTGCTAAATTTTCACTGCTATAAACTTTCATGATTTTCACTAACTAAATAAAAGCTATTTACGGTAGTTACTGATAAACAATACCCTTGATAATACTAATGCACTAGAAAGTGACATTAAAACACATATAAGTGAAAGTCAATGAGTCGTAATTTTGGTATTACACAAGTTGGATCAATAAAATTTGCCCACAGTTTTCGTACCTACCAGTAATTTTATTCATAATAGTTTGGTAAATAGCCAAGTTACCATAGATACAGATACACTCGATTTGATATAAATGGCATGTTACATTATTCGCGGAAATTTCATCAGGATAATGGCCACATTAACTTAATGTAAATTGATTATGTTATTCTTGGAAAAAAGGAAATACTGTATTTTTCAGTAGTCCGTTAAAGTGCTGTGCATATAAATTTATATGTATATGGGGAAAAAGTGTGTGGACTTATTAATCTATGGAAAAACTAAGCAATGTGTATGATAAGTCTCATGACTAACCATATTATGGCTTTTAATATTTCCTAATTTAATATTTAATAATTTTGAGTTGTAGAGCGCAACTATGCGTGGTATTGTGTCTATCGATATCTTCAACAAGGAAAGCATTTCCTCATCTACATTTCCATGCTGTACATCAACCATATTTGAAATATATATTAAAGATTTTGATATGTACCATTGCTGTGGAACATTTGCAGGTTTCAGTGTTACATGACTTTTTTTTTTTTACAAATACATTATAAAATACATCATTTTATTTAGGCTTGTTCGTAGTTATAGTCGCGTATTACAAAAACAAATTTATAGACTGCTAGCAAGAACTCAGAAGGTAAAATTTGTGAAATTTGTACGAGCTAATTTATTGTTGAATTCACTAGAAAACAACAATGGCCGACTTGGATGCTACATTACAGTTACTCAATTCGATTAATTTACGATCACACAAAATTGACACATGTTGCTTGCTCTTGCATGACTATTAAGTTTTTGTAAATAATTAAATAAGGTATGACAATAAAAAAATAATTAATTTTTTAAATTGTCAGGCACAAGAATGGTAATTATATTTACAAAGCATTCATTTTATAATTTCAAAAAGTTGTAATCAGCAAATAACATTATTCAACTAAATGATTAAAAAACATTTGCTAAAGCTTAAATCAGTGATAACTCATAAATTGGAAAGGAACCATTACATATATGAACAGATGGCCGACAGATGTCGGATATCATCACATCTCAGTATGAACAATAAGGTAAATATTCACTGACACACAAACATGATATTCGGATTACTTCTGTAATGGTGTGGTGATGAAATTCAGATGAAAGCTACAATGACATAGATACTGACTAGAATACATTTATATGGGTTGCTGTCTTGGAGTTTCCCTTTGAGACCATATGAATTGCTTCCTTGTTTTTATTTTTTAATACATTTTTTTGGTTTGAATGGTGTTAATTTGCATAGCCAGTCATTTTTCCATCATGACCATAAAATATGATTTTATTAGCTAAATCATGACCATGTTGTTGATCAAATGCAATTGACTTTCACAAAGTTCACTCAAACTGTTCGTTCTGCCAGGCAATGCAAATACATCATTTGCGCAATTCGAAATGTTTGGTGTTTACGGACAATGGGGTCAAAAATCAATATGGCATCTACATTGATGTATGTGAATTAAGTAAAACACAACGTCAGTGCTTGAAAAACTCATCCAAAAGACACATTTTCCACAAAATTGTCTAAAATAAATGTGTAATTATGGGCTCAGGTCTTATTTTCAACTTTGCGAAAAATTAAACAAATGGCAAAAGGTGCAAATATGACGTGACTTTCCATGCTTTCCTATCTACAGAAGCAGGATAGTAAAAATGGGAATTAATAATCCTATAGAATTATAAATATGAATGTTGTCGCTCTTCAATGTTGGATTTTACAAGGATGGCAGAGTCACCATATTTTGATTATTTCTTTGCTTTCTTGGAAACGTATCTTAGTAACGACCTTTACAAAAACCTTTAAAAATTGCTCCTTATTCACTATGTATTGTTCTTTCAAGGCAAATGAACTGTTGTGTCACTATAAAACAGTATAGCCTATTTCTGAGAGAAATAAAAAAACAAGAATTTACAAATTAATGATGTGACTTTCAGTTTAATCTCAAAATGATTCTACATGTAAAAATAACCGAATAAATTAAAAAATAGAAATGTCATACATGTATGTAGTTTGACAGTGTGGAATGATACATGCCCCGAGATACAGGTCTGCCAAAGGTCTATAAAGTACGTACTCCATATCACACATGTTTACAGTGAAAATAGAATAAAGTTTCTTTTTAACAAAGAATGCAAAAATTATCAATGGAACTATCAAATCAGTCAGCTAGAAGAGAACAATGTTGTTCAGGGTTCAAAACAATGCATATACATGTAGTGTGAAAAAGAATAAGTGCACCTGTAACCGAAATACAGATGAGAATCAAAAATAGCAAATTTTATGTGCAAATGGCCACCAGTCAGCCATTTTTGTTTCAATTTTCAAATTAAAAGAAATGCATCTGTAAAACATGATGTATTGTCTGTGTGTAAAGTTTGAATGAGATTGGTCAATGACTGTCTGGGATACGACTCGGGACGGACGAATGGACACCAAATTAACAGTCCCCAGGAACTAATAAAGATTACAATTATTACAATAAATGTAATTTTATTGAAGATGATTTCTAACAAAGCAAATATGTTCATAACATGTATACAGACTGCAAGTACATATATAAACCTTTGCAGGCAAGCAATAACACAACAGCAATTGGTTCATTTTTTTTCTTGACTGGTCATGCTCTCCTGAACACAGAACATGAGACAATGCACGACAGGCTGGCCTCAAGCACTCATACAATGGACATCACAGAAACTGAGACATCAGTATCAAGAGTTACAATAAATCAATTGAAATTAAAAACTGATCGAGTGACTCACATGTCACAACATTCAGTCAATGACCTAAATATAAATATAGGCCTGTCTTAAGAGAAACTATTGTGATTGTGTTAGAGCAGTCTAACTAAGAAGTAATTTAAGGCGGCTATTAAAGTGAAGTTTGGTCGCCCCAAGTCTGAACGTATAAACACTCTTGAGTGATGACATTATGATTGTTGATCCTAGGGTTGCTATGGCCATAGGGAAACTTCGTTGGACCTTCATCTCCATTATGAAAGAAAATTGTGTTGTTGGGAAAACTTGACATTGACTGGTCACCTGACTAGTGGAGACGAATGGTTGAAGTATAACTATCCAACAAAAAGAAAACTACAAAACAACTGTAGCTGATGCAATTACAGGAGAAGTTATCAAATTTTGTCAGCACTTGTGAGAAATTATGTATGACCATTTGTATTATCATTGCCAATGCTAGGCCGCTGTGATATTTAGAATGACCTAACTATACACTGTGAGAACACGATCGTATTTGTTCTAAAGTTCTGTATCTGTCAATCATTAGTAAGAACAGTCTAATTAGTTGTAGAGGGAACAGTAATTTTCTGTAGTACTATCATAAAATGGGGTAGTAGCAATCACAAAAAAATTGTCTCTAGCAAAATTAAAGTCAATTTTAATTTTAACATGACATTTTAACCAACTCCTGAATTTACCTGATTTACACAAATAACCTGTCTAGGGAACACGATATGCGGAAATATTCATGAAATCAATAGTTTGCAGGGTTTCCGTTTACTATTAGCATTTTGCATGATTTTTAGTTACACTTGCCACATGTTTCACCAGCATGCTCAGCTACGTGCTTTGAGACATTCGATCTGCTATTGCGTAGTTCGTCTACCTAAAGAATCTGAGAGTCAAAGACTTTACCATTTGACTGCACCACTTTATTTGTTTTTGTTATGTATGTTTTGACAGTATAATTTTGTATTTCAACATATTTTGTACAGTGTATTTATTGACAGAGAATGGTGTTGAAATAAGCTTATACCCAAGCAGTGTGCACCTCCATGTACAGCTCATTTCAGTGTTCTAATGTGAACTGGAATGCAGTGTGGCTTATAGCTGTGCATTAGGTGACACCGGGTGTGTTTGTAAAAATTAATTCTCTGTCATGCTGAAGCTGCTGAAATTAGATTTATCAACACAACCACGAAAGTAAAAAGGCATAAATGATAAAACTCAATTAAACTCTTTCAACTTGTATTATTTGTGTTCATACATGCATTCAGCTCTATGAGTGTGACCAGGAAGATTGTCATAATTGATTGCCACAATTTCTGTTTTCAGATTCAGTAAAATAATACAAATGTTCAACCCAACATTAGTAGAGTCTATTGTCAACATTGGCTTTGTCATGGTTGACACTGAGCTCTTGAGGTGAACATTTGTAATATGTAGTTTTTAATTTCTTTCTTCTTTTAGATAATTTACCATAGGCTGCTTTCATGTATATGAGAAAATTTAAGACTTATTTTGGGAAAGAAAACTGAAGCTGAGAAGGAGATTATTTACATTGACACCTTGGTTTTTACTGGTTGAGATAAAGTGACAACGCAAATCTGTTTTACCTCGCATTGCAGCCTCATGAAGTGGTGTTGCAGACAATAATGTTGGGTTGACATCAGCGCCATTCTGCAACAAAAACTTTACAACATCAACATTGCCTTTAACACAGGCATCACACAGTGGTGTAGCACCGTCTATGTTCCTAGCATTCACCTAAAAAACATTATTTTATAAAAAAAAATTGTAATCAGAATGCCTTATTGGCAAATATAGACATGAAGGTCGAATCTACCCAGTTTTAATTAAAGCATTATACAGTCACACGGCACATGTTCGAATTTTGGGTGAACAATGTATTTTACATGCATTATATATCACTATAGGTCGCATATCAAACATGACATGGTGCAACGACTGTAATGCTTTAAGTAGACAGAGACATGTGAGGAAAGATACAACAGTAATGAAAACAATGGCTTAACTAGGAAGTTGATTAACAACATATTTTGCTTCTCAGACCTCCAATATTAGAGGCGACTCGCACTTTAGTACAAAAGGGGTCCTATTTGTACATGGAATATATTGCCAGTTGCAGTTCACTTTCTGGACTCACTACATACAAGTTTTGACACAATCCCTGGGCTTAACCTCAGAGAACCCAGGTATGACCTGTGATCGTAGTAGCTTACAAGGGGTCAACAAGCAGTGTCAGGTGAGAGTACATCCTAAGATTCGTAAGGCATCTTTTGATTGGTTAGAGACCCAATGAAGACTCCTAAAATAACCAATGAAATACTCGTTGTGACAATTCAAGAATCATGGATATTTTATAAAGTTTTAGATTAATTTAGAATACTGTACATGAATGACTGTGAGCAAATTGATGATGTCCAATAAAAGATTTCCACATGGATATTTGTTTCCAAAGTGGAGGGTTGATCATCATTTGTTAACTTTTATCTCCTGCCATCATCATTTGTTAACTTTTATCTCCTGTCGTCATCATTTGTTAA